AAAAAAAAAAAAAAGTATAAACAACTTTTTTAAATGTCTTCATATCACAGAAAACACACAATCATTACTATGCGATTTTTCTCTGTAAAATTCTTTTCTTTTTTCTTTTCTTTTTTTCTTTTTTTTTCTTATCATTATGTCGTATGGAAATATGTGGAACTGAGCGAGAGGGTTATCGCCTCTGCTGTTAAAAAAAAAAGAAATAATAATAGTTGACTGTTGACTGCGTACTGTACCTCTTTTCATTGCCAATTGGGCTTCACCAACCTCTCCCCAATCCAATCCAATCCAATTCCCACATATATATTTTAGAGATGTGGCGAAAACAATATTTTCTCTTTTTTTTTTTTTGTTTTTTATTTGAATTTGTTTATTCACAAAAATCTTATTATTATTATTATTATTATTATTATTATTATTATTATTATTATTATTTGGCTTCTTATTTCTTTTATCTCCATCTTTTTTTTTTCTTCTTTTTTTATTGTTTCTTATGATGATGATGATGATGATAACGTTGTCAGAGTAACACAGTGCAGGAAAGAAAGAAAGACAAAGAAAATAGGAGATCAGATAAATATATATATACATATACATAACTATATATATATATATATATAAAGGGAGTGGGGAATATGTATGATCCGGCCTCACCCAATAATTACCGCGAGGTTAAAATCGCCTCGTGGAAACGCGCCAGAGAAGAAGAACAGGCAAATGATATTTCACGTGCGTTAGCCGCCGCTCCCACTCCTGCGGCTGTTTCTATGCTTACTACTACTATTCCTACTAATCCTTCTATTATTATTAATAATAATAATAGTATTAATAATAATATTAATAATAATATTAGTATTGTTGGTGGTTCTTCTCCATTGGAGCCGCTGCAACTCAGCGCGGAGGAACTCCACCAGCGCCGCGTACGGCAGAGCGCCGCGTTGGGCATCACAACAGCAATGAAGATTGAACGCGATGAACTCGAGGCCGCACACAAGGCAAAGGTCGCTACCGGCATGGACCGTAAAGGACGCATTGGACAGAAATTAGGAAAGTTAATGGAAGTCGCATCCGCAAAGAATAACAGTCAACAGACCAACAATACTAATAATACTAATAATAACAATAATAGTAATAATAGTGGAACAGCAGATGGGGGATCACAACATCCCCCGCCGCTTCCTCTTAGCAGCGCACCGTTAACATTTCACAAAACAGACTTGGCGGCTGGCGGGTATGTTGTTAAGGAAGACACTAGCGCTCTAGAGAAGAAGAAGATCGTGCAGGGAAAACCAAGTTCGACTATTCTGATTCGTTTTATACGTGATGGACCACCACCAGAAGTCTTCGCCGAAGATAATAACAATGATAATAGTAATAATAACAATACTACTGTTAGTAGTAATAGTGCAGTAGCGGTTCGAAATGCTTTTCTTGAGAGCATTCAAGAACAGTGTGGACGTTGTGGTGTCGTGCGATCCATTCGTTATGCAGTCTTGAGTGATGATGAACGAGCGGCGGTGCGATCTCGCTTGTCTGCAAGTACTAATAATAATAATAATAATAATAATAATAATAATAATAATAATAATAATAATAATAATAATAATAATAATACTAGTAGTAGTATTAGTGGTGGTGGTAGTGTAAGTGATGATGTAGAGACACGTCTAGCTCGAGAGGCCATTCGTATATTTGTTCGATTTGATAGTGTTGCGAATGCCTTTAAAGCACTGGAGGTATTGCAGCAGAAGTGTGTTCAGTGGGATGTTTGTTTCTTTCCCACTCAATTGTTTGATGCTGGATCGCTGGGACCGGCAGAGGGTGAACCGTTATGTGCTGTTTAAAATTTTTTTTTATTTTTTACTTTTATTTCACACGTGTATATATATATATATATAAACAGCGGATGAAAAAGAGAGAAATGAAGTTGGAATATTTTTTTTTTTTTTCTTATTTTCTTATTATTTTTATTATTATCTTGATTTACGTGTTTAAAGAAGTATCATTTCAAATCTCATACTAAAGGAAAGAAGAAGAAAAAAAAAAAAAGAAAAAAAGAAAAAAAACATGTCTCTTCCCCTTAATGAACATGACCCAGAGTTGTTTGACATCATCGAGAAGGAAAAGGCTCGTCAGTACCGCAGTTTGGAACTCATCGCCTCAGAGAATCTCACATCTCGTGCCGTGATGGAATGTCTCGGTTCATGTCTCACGAATAAATACGCAGAGGGAGAGTGCGGTAATCGTTACTATGGTGGAACGGAATATGTGGATATGGTGGAAAATGCCGCGAAGACTCGTGCCTTGCAGGCCTTCTCACTAGATGAGAATGAATGGGGTGTGAATGTACAACCCTACAGTGGATCACCAGCCAACTTCGCCGTTTACACAGCACTTCTACAACCGCATAGTCGAATTATGGGACTGGATCTCCCCTCTGGTGGTCATCTCACACATGGTTTCTACACAGCAAAGAAGAAGATCAGCGCCACATCTGTGTATTTTGAATCCTTTCCCTATAAAGTGGATGCGGATGGTGTGATTGACTACACACATCTTGAGGAATTCAGTGAGGTGTTTCGACCGGCAATGATTATCATAGGTGCTTCTGCATATTCACGTGATTATGATTATCCACGTGTGCGTGCCCTCTGTGATCATCTTGGATGTTTACTCTTTATGGATATGGCTCATACCGCCGGACTGATTGCGGGTGGTGTGCTGCAGTCACCATTTCCCTATGCTGATATAGTGTCCACCACCACACATAAATCTCTACGTGGCCCACGATCGGGAATGATTTTCTTCCGCAAGAAGGATCGCAATGGTAATCCCACAGACTTTGAGAGTCGTGTTAATCAGGCAGTTTTTCCTGGATTACAAGGTGGACCACATATGCATCAAATTGCAGGAATTGCGACACAAATGAAAGAGGTATGTGATCCGGCATGGAAGACATATGCACAACAAGTTGTACGTAATGCGAAGACCTTGGCGGCGGAATTAATTGCACGTGGTCATCGTCTGGTATCAGAAGTGACAGAGAATCACATTGTGTTGTGGAATGTCCGTCATCTCGGGTTAACAGGAAATAAGGTGGAGAAGTTATTGGATCTTGTTTCTATCAGTGCAAATAAGAATGCCATTCCTGGAGATAAGAGTGCCCTTACACCGGGTGGAGTGCGACTCGGCACATGTGCCTTAACCACACGTGGAATGGTGGAGTCTGATATGGCACAAGTGGCGGACTTTCTTCATCGTGCGGCCACAATTTGTGTGGAGTTGCAATCGCAAGTTGGGCCTAAACTGAAAGATTTTGTGGAGGCGATGCATGCAAGTGAAGCCGTGCGGCAGCTGCGTGTTGAAGTGGAACGCGTGGCGACATCACTTTATATTCCTGGTATTGACTGCAACACCCTCCGGTATAAGGATGGCATTCCAGAGACTGCATAGGGAACGATATATATATATATATATATATATATATATACTCTAACTTTTTGTTTTATTAAATATTGTTTTATTTTTCTTTGTGGTCGGAGTGGTGTTTTTTTTTTCTTTATTTCCTTCTTTTTTTTTTACTTTTTTTTTTTTGCGAGAGCTTAAAGAGAAAAAAATAAAAAGGGGGATACACGTGAAATGCTACCAACGTATGTCATGCACGGCTGGTAGCAGTCATTCGTTTTTTTTTTTTTGTTGTTGTTGCTGTTGATGTTGTTGATTTCTCGTTCATATGATAAACAAAAAAGTGATGTTTTTCTTCCATTACTTAACATTTCATTTTGTGGCATTTTTTTCATCTGATTTTCTAGTGATAACATGCACGATTTGATGTGTTTGGGTAGACCCTATGTGAGAAGAAAGGGGACTCAGGAAAAATATATATCTTCTGAAGGTTACAGAATAGCAGACGTATTCCTTTTACCGTTTTTTTTTTTAATATTTGTGTGTGCACTTTTGTGTACAAAGCATTCTTTTTAACAGCACAGCATTAAGTTAATGAGTGTTATATATATTTATTTATGTATTTGGACGCGTTGTGTACGCGCAGTCAGGAAGATATATTTCCACTCAGTTAAACTAAAAAGGGAAAGGTTTTTTTTTCCCATTTCGACAACATCATATTTTTTTTTTTCCCAAATTTTTTTTGTTTTTTTCTTTTTCTAAGGGTTTTTGTGGGGTTTGATAGTGGACTACTAATTCAGGCCTTGTGTGAGCAAGGAAAAAAAGGAAAAAAAAAACGGGAAGTCTATATATACATATATCTATATATATATATATATATATATATATAGTGTATAATCAATTTGTAGACTTCTAGAACAGGTTCATATATTCATACAGGCACAAAGATACAAACACACACACAAAAAAAAGAAAGAAAAAATAGGATATTATACATTATCAATAGCCAAAATTATTACCAAAACGCGGTCATCCCTTACCTCCCATATATAATTTTATTGTTTTCTTATTTTTGTTATTATTACTATTACTACTACTACTACTACTACTACTACTACTACTACTACTACTACTACTACTACTATTAATTGATCGCCAAGGTAATGCAATTTGGGCATTATAGGTCTCTACGTTTCCTAGTGCTTGTGACAGCCTATCTTCTTGTTTTATCGGTGGACAAGAGCAGTGGTAGCGGCAACAGCAAAAATTCTGGAATCCCCGATGACGAGTCAACGAAATCATTACTCCTTGCCGGTGATGCCGCATTACGTCAGGGTCGCAGTCATTACCAGGAAGCACTCGCAAAATACACGGAAGCAATTACTCATAATCCTAAAAGTCTTCGTGGTCTCTATAGTCGAGCTGAACTGTTATCCATGATGCGTCAGCGTGAGCCATGTATGCAAGATTTAAATCAACTCCTTGAATTGGATAAGCAACACCATCGTGGTTTAGCCCTTCGTGCATCCCTTTATGCGCAGTCTGGACACCTGCAGGAGGCTATTCGTGATGTGGAGACTCTTATTCCTGTATTGGATGGCATGAAGAAGACCCAAAAGGCGGCGGAGTACCGTTCCAAATTGGATCAACTCCGACGCTACGTCTCCACTTGGCCGCCGCTGCAGCGAAAACTGGAGTCGGCGCAGCACGGCGGGTCCCCGCTGACGCCGGCGGAGTACCGCACGTGTGTGACGGTGCTGCACGAGATGATCCGCGATCTCGCGCGCGACAACAACGAACTGCGGCTGCAGCGGGCGAAATGCGCCCTCGCGTGTGGCGACAACGCCGCGGCGTCGGAGGAACTCAAAGCGGTCGTGCGGCGCGACCCGCAGAATCTCGAGGCGGTGGCCCTCGCGGCGCGGGCACTGCGGGCTCTCGGCGCCCTCGAGGCGGCCCGCGCGGAGTTGCGCCGGTGTCTCTCCCTCGACCCCGAGCACGCGGCGTGTGCGGCCGGCCTGCGGGGCGTGCGGGAACAACAGCGGCTCCTCACAGACGTCGCGGCGGCCATCAGTGCGGGCGACTTTGCCGCCGCCGGGAAGCACGTGGAGGCGGCGGAGAAACTCGCAGAGGAGGAGGCCCGCGGGTTAGGTATCCCACCCACACAAACCACCAATAAAGGAAAGGGAGAAGGCGATGGCATGGTGGGGGATACCGCACTGCGGGAACAAATACGCCGCTGGCGCTGCGATGTAGCGGTGGGTCGCCGCGATACGAAAGAAGGCCACAAAGCCTGCGATGCCGTACTTGAGCGATTAGGCAGTGATAGCCCTGCAGCCGCAGATGTGCTATTGCAGAAGGTGGAGCTTTACCTCATGGAAGACGATTTAGCTGCCGCAGAGGAATACCTCGGGCGGGTACAGAAACTCCAGTCCGGTCACCCACGACTGCAGGAGTACTTGAGAAAGTTAGAGAAACTTAAACGCTCTGCCGGGCGTAAGGATTACTATAAAATATTAGGTGTCAAGAAAACGGCAGACGCAGCGGAGATACGTCGCGCCTACCGTCATCTGGCAAAGACTCTTCACCCTGATAAACTTCGTTCGCAGAATCTCTCACCCCAAGAGCGACAAAAAGCAGATGAACGCTTCCGTAACATTAATGAAGCAAAGGAGATTCTGTTGGATGATGAAAAACGCGCACGCTATGACAATGGTGAGGATCCAACGAAACCTCCTGGACAAGGTGAAGAAGGTCACCCATTCTACGGTCACCCATTCTCATTCCATGGTAATCCATTTGGTCAAGGAGGTCCATTTGGTCAAGGTGGGGGGCACCAACAGTTCTTCTTCCGCTTTGGCTAATCTCTTAGCTGGGAATCTTTGTGAAAAACTAACCAATGCCAGAATGAGAGAGAGAGAGAGAGAAAGAGAGTGAGAGTGGAGTAAGAGGAAATGCAAAAAGAGGTAGGGGAAAAAAAAAGAGAAAAGAAAATGAAAGGAAAAGAAATTCAATCTGTGCTATATTCTTCGTGGGCCTGTGTTTTTTGTACGTGTAAAGGGAAAGGATGAGAAAGAGAGAAATATCTTCTTTGTGTCGTATGATTATATGTATTTGCTTCTGTTGTCTTTGCATTTATTAGAGTTGGATTGAGACAGACGAAATAGTCATGTCCGTCAAATTCCATTTGTTTTGGATATTTGTGCTTCATGTGGTTAGGGATAACTTTTTTTTTTTTTTTTTTATCTTCTAAGGGACCGTTACGCAACCACACAACTCTTCTTATTTCTACACCTTTATTATTATTATCATTATTATTATTATTATTTATTTATTGCCAATATTCTACCACATTTGTATTACTGCTAATGCTGTTACTTGTACAAGGCATGTGAAGAGAAGTGTACTCCTTATATTCCTTTTTATTTTTATTTTTTAAATCTACACATACACAGGTAGGCAGACCAGGAACGTTGTCCTCTATTTTCTAAGATCTATACTCATATTATATTTAAATATAGGGAGAAGAAGGGAAGAGACGGAGAGATACATCACTTGGGTGTCGTCATAGTAATAATAGTAATAGTAGTAGTACTATTGGGAATGTCTAGCTGGTCTTTGTTGAAGGAGAATTATGACTTCTTTGGTGGAAATTCCGAAGATGGCGGATCAGTAATAACAAGCGGAGGCGGAGGAGATGTACCTTGTGGTTATGTTGTACGTATACCACCTCCGATGAGTGGTCCTGGTCGACCTTCAAATGCAGTTGAAATTGCTTCCATTACATTAACACATGTTAGTATGTCACCTGATACAACCCGTAAGATGGTAACGTGGTATGAAGTTTTAGTAAGTACCCCTACTCATCAATGGTCTGTGTTAAAACGGTTTTCTGAATTCCTTGATCTACACAGGATGATAGAGAAAGTGGGTCTCCTTCAGCTTTCAAGGCGTCAATTGCAGAGAAATATCATATCCCCACCTTCACGTCTATCACTTAGTCAGTGGCGTAGACAACAATTGGAAAGGTTCGTGCAGTCGTTACTTCAGACACTGAAAGATTTGTCAATAGCAGTTGTGACAGGTCTCAGTGATAAGACGGAGTCTTTACAATCGACGACATTGGGTGTTGTACGTGCTGGTTTTTCCAGTTTTATTCAATTTCTTGTAACAACATCTTATGATGAATCATTGGAAATAACTACTGTTAAAAAGAAAACTGATCCTTCTATACCATATGAACAGTCTCCACGTTGCCTTACAATGGATGATACTGGACATGTACCACCTGCTAAAATACTACATATACCAAAACGTCTTTTTACTATAATGTTACAACTTCCAGGTGCTTCCCTGTCTACTGTCTACGTTGACTCTGCTTTCAATTCCTCTTCTATGCAGACTACTTCTTTTGAAACACCCCGAGAAATTATTGTGGGTGGTTGTTGGAATAGTCAAATAACAAGTGTGTCCTCTGTTCTTGCAGACGTACCAGACGCCGGCCTTTCTTCTGGAGGTAGTGTTTGCGATGGTGAAAGCGCCCGTGAGTTGGGAGAAGCTGAGGGTTTATCACAGATCTTGTTTGACACCTTCCCTGTAGGTGAGTTTCAAATGAAATTTGAAGTACCATCAGATTTTGCTATTGATGAATGGCAGAGCGACTATGCAGCTGGTGTGCTTTTCCTTACCTGGCGACGTGAGGAATCTATTTCCTAAAGTAATTCTTACGACGCTTGAAAAAGAAAAAAAAAAAGAAATTGACAGTACATTGATTTTTTTTTTTTTTAGATATAGTTCTCTATAAAAGTACATAATTATATACATACGTATATATATATATATATATATATATTTATGTGTGTCTGTGTCTATGTTCATGTGTGTATACGTTCCCTTTCTATGGCGTCTCTTGCTTTATATAGTGTTTTTTTTTAATGCTCGTTATTTGTTTTTTCTATTTTTGTACGGTATTTCATATTGCTGTTACTTCCGAGTTTGAATTTTAAAAGGAAGCAAAGTGACCTCAATTAAATCATTTTTCAAATGTCTCTTTGGTAGTATATATATTATTATGGCTACTACTAATACTATTACTATTACTACTTTTACGACTATCATATTGGTTGGAAAGCTGCGTGGCACAAATAGTTTTTTTTTTCTATTTTTTATTTTCTGTTTGTTGCTATGTTTCTCTGTTTTCTACATGTATTACAACGGAGGTCAAGAAAGAATTAAAAAACAGTAGCTGGCGAAAGTGGGAAGTTAGAAAAGCAAAAAAAAAAAAAAAAAGAAAACAAAAGAAAAGAAAAGCAATATAAAGAAGAGTGTCCTACTGATAGGAGGAGTTGTATCCGACGAGGCGAATCAACGCGTTCTGGCAGCCACGTTGGCAATTTTCTCGTGCAACCCCGTCTTTTCTTCTTTCTACACAATTTCGATCCGTGAGGCCCACGCCAATGACAAACACTAACGTTACGGATATGTCGGTTGAGGATCGCTACGCGCTGATTCGTAGCGTAGGTGAGGAATGTATTCAGGAGACGGAGTTAATGAACCTTATCGCGAAGAAGCCAAACATTCGCTGCTACGATGGATTTGAACCATCTGGTCGTATGCACATTGCACAAGGTGTTTTTAAGGCTGTAAACGTAAATAAATGTACTCAGGTTGGTTGTGATTTTGTTTTTTGGGTGGCAGATTGGTTTGCTCTAATGAACGACAAGGTTGGTGGAGAACTTGACAAGATTCGCATTGTTGGCGAGTATCTTATTGAGGTTTGGAGGGCTGCAGGGATGAACATGGATAAGGTACACTTTCTTTGGAGTAGCGATGAAATCACAAATAACGCTGCAGTGTATTGGAAGATGGTACTTGATATTGCCCGTCGTAATACCATTGCACGTATTAAAAAATGTTGTACCATTATGGGTAAACAGGAAGGTACTTTAACAGCAGCACAAATTCTTTATCCGCTTATGCAGTGTGCTGATATATTTTTTCTAAAGGCTGATATTTGTCAACTTGGTCTTGATCAACGTAAGGTAAACATGCTTGCGAGGGAGTACTGTGATCTTATTGGACGCAAACTGAAACCTGTCATCCTTTCTCACCATATGCTTGCTGGACTTAAGCAAGGTCAGGCTAAGATGAGCAAAAGTGATCCCGACAGTGCTATTTTCATGGAAGACACCGCAGAGGATGTGGCACGTAAAATACGAAATGCATACTGCCCCCGTAAGGTACAAGTTAAAACAGAAGTCACAGATGATGGGGCACCTGTGTTGAATGATGATAAAAATCCCGTATTGGATTATTTTGAGCATATTGTCTACTCTCGTCCAGGAAGCAGCATTACCGTGGATGGTACTATTTACGCTACGTATGAGGAGCTGGAAACAGCCTTTGTTAATGGTGCCATTTCAGAGGAATCATTAAAGGAAGCCCTCATTGAGGCTGTGAATGTTCTCTTGGAACCCGTACGTCAACACTTTGCAAATGACTCAAATGCAAAGAAACTGCTGGAGCAGGTACTTTCCTTCCGGAAAGGTGGAGCCGCACCGCCGTTGGCATCTATTTCAGTTCCAGAACAGTCGTCGACGCCACTCGCCGTTGCGTGGCTGCCGGCGGTCATTAAACTCCCTGTTGACTACGCCGTAGCGCTGAGCGTGGCGGTCAAAAAGTTCCTCCGTGAAAACCCACAGGGTGAGGTGGTGTTACTTCTCCCCGAGTGGACCGCCTTTGCGTGTAATGAGATCACAGGGGAGGAGAAGGCCATTAACGCCGCACTCGAACTCAATCTCGCGTTGCTGCAATCGCACTGGTTGTCCAACTCGCAGGTGCGGGTGGTGCGTCAAGGAGAACTCATTCACAGAGACCCAAATACATATTGGGTGAATGCCATTCACGCCGGCCGCCGCAATCGCCTGCAGAGGGTAGAGGAGGCCTGCGGGGAATTAAAGTCCGCCGGTAATGTTGTCGCAGCGCTCATGTACACAGCAGACGCCGCCGCACTTGGCGCTACACACATTTTCACTACTGCACGTGATCACGGTCCACACATTCTCTTGCGTGAATTCTTCGCCGACCGCATTGTGAGTGTGGATGTTGTGGAAAATGTTATTCCACCACTCCACCGCCCACAGGAGGACACAGCAGCAGCATCAACCACAACAACTGCTGACGATCTGCTCACTGTGGATGACACCGATATGGATCTGCGACGCAAAATCAAAAAGGCGTACTGCGCCCCTAACGAATCACACAATCCTGTGCTTTCCATCGCCGCCTGGTTGCTGCAGGAGCGCGGGGAGTTGCTGGTGGAGCGGGCCGCAGACAACGGCGGCAACACAACATACACCGCCGAGTCGCAGCTACGCGATGACGCCCTGAGTGGGGCACTACACCCCGCAGACTTGAAGGCCGCCGTAACAAAGTGGTTGTTGGAGGGTTGTGTGGCCACAAAGGCCGTTCTCTCCAGTGCTGATGGCAAGAAGAACTCACAAACACTGCGTCAGGCGGAGAAGACACTATCGAAGAAATCCAAGTGAGGGATTTCTTAATTCAAATATTTGCTGTTTGAGAGGTAGTACAATATAGTGTTTTTCTCTGCTTGTGCATGTGCTTTGCTGTTTGAGAGAGGAGGGGAAAAGGTGTAAAAAAAAAAAAAAAAACATGAAATATAATAAATAAAGGCGTATTTCACTATTGATTTCACCTTGAAGGACGCGTGGACGTGATTTGTAGTGATATATCTTCAAGGAAATGCACGGGCAAACATTCTCGTACACAGTATTGCTTTATGCTTTTTACTTATTTATTTATTTTTTTAGTGATGTTTTTTGTTTTTTTTTTTTTTTTGTAAATTGATTTTTTTTTTTTCTTTTTTCTTCATTCTTTTTTTTTTTTTTGTTTTTGGTATAGGAAAGAGAGGGACTGTGTGGACGGATATCAGGATTTCTAAAAAAAAAAAAAAAGGAATTTAAAATGCAGACCACAAGTGCCTCAAGCTCTATTTCCTTCAAACCCGTAGTGACGGTGGGTTCAGTTATGCATGAACCGCGAAAACCCGCCTATAGACGAGTGACACCGCAACCACAAGATCTTCCAATGCATAAAAAGCAGCCAACACACTATTCCATGCATGCAGCGGGTTCATTTATGCCGAACTCCACTTCACCATCTATACTGGCGACAACATGTGATCAACAGAAGGCATTTATGCCTACCTTTACGCCTCTCGTGACTTGTGTGGAAGATGAGGCGGACGAGACTTCACGGGAATTACGATCCTTTGAAAAGAATCTGAGGCGATTACACCGCCAATCCTCACGATCATCCACCGCGAGAGGACGAAGTTCTTCCATGATAAGTGATGATGTAAGCGAAAGTCTACGTGCAAGTCGTCCATTAACACCATTAGAAGAGGCACAAACTTTAGTACAGCCTCCATTACAGAGGACTGTTGTTAATTTACTTCCTCGTCTTTTTTCTGAACTTCTTTTGGAGAATAACAGTATTGTTTTTAGATTACGTGAACTCGGTCGAGATAGGGTCTTGCGTCAACTTGGAATTGATGGAAAACGATTAGGTATGCGGGAAGTAACTTCGAGAGAGTTGTTTTTTCTCTTGGGATGTATCTTGGATGAGAAATCCATAATGAGAAGTGATGTTGAATATCTATTTCGTTTTTTTGACTGGAGTGGAAAGGGTGCGATGGATTTTAAAGATTTACTTTCCAGTGTGAGTCTCCTCTTTGTATCGACGACCATGCTAGCAGCGGTCCACTGCAGACGCATACTAGGTGAACGTGTACTCGACGATAGCGTTATTGCCCTTGCAGATGTGGAAGTAATGTTCACAGCACTAAACGATATATTTGCTGCGGAGCTGGAAGAAGTACCTGCACTGTGTAATGAGGTACGCCGTGCTGTAGAGGAAGTAATGCCAACTTATACCGTTCCTGTTTCTACTCTACGTGAAGAAGTGGGACGCTTTCCAACGTTAACACAATGTCTATCAGCCATTCAATGGGATGGTACGATTGATTGGAAGAGTGTACGCCGTTCAGCTCCAGTAAATGATCACAATCGTACACGTGAGGAATTGCAGAGAGATTTGGTGCGGGCTGCAGTGGCAGAGGGACGAGAAACAAGTGTTGAAACCGTATGTGAACAAGAGAATGAATTGTGCATGGATGTATGCCATCCCCGTTTTGTAGCGGATCAGTACCGTGTCCATGGGGTTCATAAATAGAATAGGAAACGAATGAAATTCATGATGGACATTATATAAATATATATATATATCAGATGTTTATTAAAGTATTGCATGTCCATTTTGTTCATTTTCTGATATCATTATGTAGAATGTATTCTTGACTGCTCTTTTGTAAAGGTGTGTGGATATAGGAGTCTTTTCTTTTTTTTTTGTTTTCCATGATCTATTTTCAATTGTGATAATATGTAAAACATTAGTTCCAATCTTCTGTTTTTTGTTTACTGAAAAAGTGATCATTTACAATGATATCAGTGTGGTGTTTTCACGCATCGCACGCCTATAGTATTTTTTTTTTTTTTGTTGTTCTTGCTCTTGTGATCTCTGAAAGATCTATTGATGAATCCTTTTTTTTTTTTTCATTAATATAAAGTTTGCGGATCTATTGTATTTTCTTTATTTTTTATTATTTTCCAACAAAGCAAGAAACACCATATAATTTGTGTATATATTCAGCAAACAAAGAAAAAAAAAAAAAGAAAAAAGAAAAA